CCCATGGGTGGAAGAGAGAAATCATGTCTTCAGACATATACTCTAAGCAATCTGTGGTCGGCTTATCTGTTTGCTTTGGAGAGGAGGTGAGATCTCCCATTATGACTATGTTTACCCCTTGTAATTCCCTCAGTGTGTGCTCCAAGCCTTTCAGGCTATGTTGTTTGGTGTTTACAGATTGTTTTGTACTCCTGGTTATTACCAGCATTATTACTCAATGATCCACTTCAGCCTTAATGATGCATTTTGCCTTTTACTATGTTTAGTTTGTTACGAATAAAGCTACACCAGTTATCTTTGGTTAGAATTTTGCTGGGCTACCATTTCATAACTTTGCTTTCATCCTGTTACTGTATCTGTTCCCTTGCCTTTGTTTTGTTCCCTCCTCTTCTGGCTTCCATCTGATTTTATTTTCTTTATTGTAATCCTTGCCCCTGCTTCCTCCCCATCATGCAAACCTTTCTGATTACTTTTAACTTCCTCAGACATTTTTTGAGCCAAACTGTGATGAAAGGAAGTCACAGATAAGCTGATGAGTGACTCTAAGCATTTCTTGTATCTACAAAGGGATGGAAGAATGGTGGTTGTTGGAATCTTAGGTTAACATGACAACTTATCTTAAAATTAATATGATTTGTAATGCTCTTCAAGCCACATACTTTGACAGTAGCAGGTAAATAAATAAAAACTACCTTGATTTATATTAACTAAAATATGTTCAACTATATTCATAGTTGTTGAGATAAGTTCATTTTCTCCTATGTCATACAGATGATCAAATTTTATTTTCTTTATTAAAAAGTAAAAAGCAATATAAATATGCAAATAGTAAGGATATCCCTAAATTTCATTTTGTTTATTAAATTATGTACTTGTAAATATGCATTGATATTAAAGAGTAGAATTATTCATATGGCATTTTCAGAAAATAAGCAATTTAAGTGGGAAGGGGATGACATGATTAAAATGAAAGGAAAAAGAAACTTAACAAAAGAAGGCAAAACATTAGGTCAAAAAAGCTTTTTAAAACACACCTTTGAAAGGGGACAGGCATTTTTGTTCCCTGTGCTGCAGTTTATCTCTGTTTCCTATCAATCAACACACTTTAAATGTGCAAAAGGTACATAATCACAAAGGAAAACATCCTCTGTGTAGACTACTTCACACAAAGAATTAAATCTAGGACATTCTTGGTCATTTCTCTACCATGGTCATTCTAGCTAAAGACATTCAAAGAGGGCACCTGGGTGGCTCAGTCAGTTAAGCAACTGCCTCTGGCTCAGGTCATGATCTCAGGGTCCTGGGATCGAGCCCCACGTCAGGCTCCCTGCTCAGTGGGAAGCCTGATTCTCCCTCTCCCTCTGCAGCTCCCCCTGCTTATGCTCTCTTCAAATAAATAAAATCTTAAAAAAAATAAAAGATATTCAAAGAATTTAATAAATCAAAGTCATCCAGTGGTAGTTTTTTTTAAAGCCCTACTTCAATATCAATGGAGTCATAAAAGGTACTGATTAATAAAGATCTTACCTTTTTTTTTGTAATTTTGTAATTCTAAGTAATTAAAAAAAATTCTTTTTCTTGAAATTAACTACTACTTATTTTATTTAGGGAAGCTCTTTTATCTGAATTGTACAAAGACCATACAAAATCTAGAGAAGTTCTCATACTCAGTGGCTTAACATTGTTTGTACTCTTACCATTGCTGCATATGAGGTAAAGGAAATGATTTTTTTTGAAAGCCAAGGAGGTAACTCTACATACATACAAAGCTAATAATTTTTCAAATAAGATTAATTAATAAACTGCACTACTTTTAAAGTTGCACATATTACAATGGGGCAAATACTGCTGTTTTACATTGCAGCTGTTACTCCAGAGCTCTGTGATAGACAAATGTTGTTACAACTCTAGCACTAAGCAGAAGGCCTCCTTAAGACTCAGTATCTGAGGAAACCCATGTTGCTGGTACCCGCTGAGGCTCCTCCTGAGCCTTCTCAACTGTAGACAATTGGGCACATGAGTCTTGCAAGTGCCATTCACAATCATATGATCAAAAAACTAGCCAAACTGTGTCTTCAGTTTTTTGAGCTCTTGTAGATCTTCATCCTTGAACTTCAGGTCCACAAAGTAGCCTGTAATGATCTTGGCATTTTTCTAAGACTGCTTCCTACAACTCATGTTAGATGGCTTTATAAATATGACATAGGGCTTCAGTTTGTGGGTTTGAGCTACTTGAATACCCTGAGGCTCTAAGTCCATGACACAGATCTTTCCTTCATTAAGGACTGTTTGAACAGCATCCACCATACTCGAGCATCCTGTGATATTCATGAAGATTTCAAATATTTCCTTTGACACATAGTGATACTCATGTCCGTTGCATTTCATAACTCTTTTTGGAACTAGTAGTATGTGGCACAGCACTTTGGAAATGGTTAGGATTAAGTTCCATAAATTGTCTTCTCAGTTCATTTACTCCAACGCCAGAAGGCCTCACGAGTACTATGAAGCGATGCTTGTCTGAAGGGTGCCGCTGGTACCTGACCACCTCCTCGTATGGGGTGCCCAGGGCACTGAGGCAGCTACTGGCACTGCACACCCTGGCGCACAGCTCAAGCTCAAGATCTTACTTTGTAAGATCGAGGCATGCATCGTTCAGCAGCTCACTGCAATATACTTACAACTCGGCTGTCATTGGTTTCAAGATTGCCTCGAAAATAACCTACAAAAAAGATATCCCAAGACCTTCTTCCTCCAAATTGATCTATGGCTTTAAAGCAATCTTAATCAAAACTCCTAGGATGCTTTGTATAAATAAACTGATTCTCAATTTTATATAGATATGCAAAGAAATTAGAATAACAGTTGGAGGCCTTACACCAGCTGATTTCAGGACTCACTATAAAGGTTCAGTAATCAAAACCATGGTACTTGAGGAAGGAGAGACTTATAAATCAATGGAACAGAACAGAGTCTAGGAAGAGATTCACACTTGTACTGACAATTTTCCACAAAGTTGCCTGGGTGGGTCAATGGGGGAAAGACGGTCTTTCCCACAAATGGTGCTAGAGCAGGTGGACAGGCAGATGGACAGACAAACAAATTTGATGCCTACCTCACACCATATACAAAAATTAACTCAAAATGGATCTTAGGCCTAAAAGTCAAGTCCTTAGGACACAGAAAACAAAATAAAAAAAAGAGAACTTCACCAAAATTAAACACTTGACTCTTCCTAAAACAATATAAAGGAAATAAAAAGGTAAGCCACAGATTGGGAGAAAATATTTGCAAACCATATATAGGATAAAGACCTTGTATCCAAAATATATAAAGAACTCTTAGAACTCAACAAGAAGACCCTGCAGAAATCTGTGAGTGAGTGCCCTCCTTAAATTTTATGCCATGTGCCTTACTTGCTTTACCCCAGTCCTGACCCTTACAGACAAAAATCTGCTTTTGTAACCTTATATATTTGGAATTATCTGATTGGGTATTTAAAAAAATAAATCGAGTTATTTTCATGGAGAAAAAAAGGAAATGTCAATCAACAAAACCAAAAGACAACCAACAGAATGGGAGAAGATACTTGCAAATGACATATCAGATAAAGGGCTAGTATCCAAAATCTCTAAAGAACTTAATCAAACTCAACATCCAAAGAACAAATGCATTTTTTAAGAATGGATAAAAGAGGGGCGCCTGAGTGGCTCAGCCGTTAAGCGTCTGCCTTCGGCTCAGGTCATGGTCCCAGGGTCCTGGGATCGAGCCCCACTTCGGGCTCCCTGCTCGGCGGGAAGCCTGCTTCTCCCTCTCCCACTCCCCCTGCTTGTGTTCCCTCTCTCGCTGTGTCTCTCTCTGTCAAATACATAAATAAAATCTTAAAAAAAAATAAAAGAATGGATACAAGATTAGAATTGACACATCACAAGGAGGGTATATAAAAGGCAAATAAGTCCAGGCAAAGATACCTCACATCTGTAGTTATTACGGAAGTGCAAACTAACACCACGACATTAGATGTGACACCGCTGCACGTGTAATAGAATGGCTAGAATTAAAAAGGTTGACAATAGCAGGTTTTGGTGAGGATGCCAAGCAACTGGAGCTCTCCTAAAGCTGCTGATGGGAGTGCACGATGGTGCAGCCACTCAGAAAAGAGTTTGGAAGTGGCCCAGCAATCACACTTCTAGCTGTTCTAGCTATTTACCCAAGAAAACAAGCCCACACAGATTCTTGTATGCAAATGTTTACAGCAGTTTTATACATAATATTCTAAAACTAGAAGCAACCCAAATGTCTATCAATCCATAAATAAGGAAACAAATTGTGGTATATTCCATACAATGGAATACCACTCAGGAAAAAGAAATCCCTAGAAACAAACTAAGCACCTAAGAAATTTATTAGGCTGGGTTTAAAGACTCTGGTGAAAGTTCACTGGGGGAACCAGAATGGATACCGGTGGACAGAGTGGGCTGTCCCCTGGGAGGCCTGAGAAGCCTGTTTCGGGAACACAGAGCCTTATTTCACTCTTCATTTGGGATTAGGGAAAAAAGGAGCCAGAAGCCAGAGGAAAAGAGCTGAGCCAGTACCCTATGCACCCCAAAACTGTAGTGGACTAGGAATAGCTCTCCATTTATACGATTAAACTCAATGAAAAATGGCTGGGGCTAATCTCATAGCTTCCTTTCAGAAAGAAAACAACAAATCCTCACTTGAATTATTTCTGCTTTAATTACTGGTTTAATTTCAGGTTCTCCTTTGCCTCCATCACTGGTGTATTTCCCTGGATCTAGAATTCCATGTGCTCAGCTTAAATATTTTCCAGGTACCAAGTAACACTTTGCCTGTCTCTTCCCTATAGTCAAGGGCAGGAAGGTGTCATCTGCAGGGGAGGGTCTCACAGGTTTCCTTCTGCAGGGAAAATCATCACACAGGCTCTGTCCCTTCAGAGGAGGGTCCCACACAGGTTTTGGCTCCTCAGGGCAGGTACTCACACAGGCTTCCTGCTGCAGATGCTGTAGGGCCCTCTTGGCTGGGATGAGGAAGTCAGTGAGGCAGCGCAGCCCATCCCCACCATGGAGTCTCTCCGCCACACTGAACAGCTGCCAGAGCACCGTGGCTGCCGTGGCCTCAAAAGGTGGGTAGAGGGCAGACAGTGTGTTCTGGATATAGGTGTCAAGGGATTCCAGATCCTGAAATGCAAGAGAGGATCAGGTAATTTAAAACATCAATTAAGACAGGTGCAGGGGTGCCTGGGTGGCTCAGTCGGCTAAGCGGCTGCCTTTGGCTCAGGTCATGATCCCAGTGTCCTGGGATCGAGCCCTGCATCGGGCCCCCTGCTCAGCGGGGAGCCTGCTTCTCCTTCTCCCACTCCCCGCTTGTGTTCCTGCTCTCGCTCTCTCTCTGTCAAATACATAAATATCATCTTTAAAAAAAAAAGGCAGGTGCAGAAGATACTTTTCACAGGCTGGCTATGTAAGAGTCCACTTTTTGGGCTCTGTCTTATATCTGGGTATTTGAGTTGTCTTTGTGGAATGGGAAGGTACTGGCAAATCCTCAGCATGGTGGGGGATTCCTCTTGGAGCAATCTCCTGGTCCTTCACATTGTCACACAGCAGAAGCATACTGAGGAAGTTTCCATGACTGCATTAAGTAGATCTGACCCCTATGCCTATAAGGTGAACCCTAAATAACACTTTGTAAGTGAGGTGGTTGCTGCTGTCACATGAGGCACAATCAAGTTCCACCCCAACAAATTCTGAAATGTGCACCTGAAATGCTATATTTTAGGATTATCCACGGAGCATGTGGAATTTCTTAGGGAGCCTTCCCCTTCTCTGGTTCCCCCCTCCCTGGCAATCCTGGGTCTGCAGGGAATGGGGGAGGTCCCTGTGTCAAGGACAGAGCTGGTCCACATGTAGCTTAATACTCAGAAAACTTCACCTACAGCAAATACATTTTAATTGTATTGATAATTTTTTAAAAATTTAAACAAAAACCAGTAGGGCATCCTTTATCAAAACCACAAAATTGTACCCATTTGGTCATTATGAAAACATTATCCTTTGGTACCTGATTTGCTCTTTATGTTTTTACGCAACAAAAGTTTATGTAAAGACAGAATGCTTTTAGTTTAAACGATATTTAATGCCATTTTTAGATGTAATATTTCCTGAGGAAATAACACAGGGTTCATTTGGGAAAAAAATTCAAGGCTACAATAACAGTTAAAAGTCAAAGAGTTTAAAATTGTGAAGCCGATTTTTAAAGGAACAATGATTACATCCGAGACTCCTCTGAACAGCTCATGATATAGATAATTTCCTAAAGAAATTGAAAATAAAACAGTGACTCCCCTGGGCCTGAAGCAGGTAAGGACTCAGGCCATCTGTCCTGATGGAGGGGCCAGGCTGCAAAGCAACCGGGGAGGTGCGTGCTGCAGTGAGTCCATCTGTGGAAGCTCCCACCTCTGTGTCAGTGTGGTGAGGCACTGGTCAGATATGCTCTGGAGCTCCCATGCCCATAAGGGCTTCCCCATGTCTGTCTGCTCCCCTCCCTCCATATGCCTGGGTCTCCCCACCAGACAGGGCCACTCACTCATTAGAAATTATCTAAATACTGATTTTGGGGCACCTGGGTGGCTCAGTTGGTTAAGCGACTGCCTTTGGCTCAGGTCATGATCCTGGAGTCCCAGGGTCGAGTCCTACATCGGGCTCCCTGCTCAGCGGGGAGTCTGCTTCTCCCTCTGACCCTCCCTCCTCTCATGTGCTCTCTCTCTCAAATAAATAAAATACAATATTTATAAATAAATAAATAAATAATTAAATAAATACTGATTTTTGTTTAGAAAATGCCAAGGTGGTCTGATGTCTAAACACAAATCACACCTGAGCCACCAGTGACCATCCAGCCTATGAGAAGAATGGTGTTCTTAAGCCAGTGGAAGAATCATGCTCCGAATAGGATGCTCCTCAAAGAGATCTGAAGCAAACACTTACTTGTGATACAAGAAACTGGCAAAAGTGGAAGGACATGTCTTTAATGACCTATTTCAGAGGAAGTGAAATACAAACTGTGGATCCTCCCCGGGAGAGATGTCCTCCTGCTGTGCAGATACCCAAACCCAGACAGACTCCTCCTCCAGACTCACAGGTAGGTCCTGAATCTCATGTCCAACTGTGGTCAGCAGCCTCCCAGTGGGTCTCCTGGCCTCCACCTCACCCATTCATCTTCTGAAAACTGCCCAATGTGAGGAAGAGACAGGCAATCTCTAGGATTTCATAGCTTCCCTGGCCCTTCTCTGCCCTTGGATTCCTCTTGTGACTGAGTGAGGCTCCAACACTTGGCCTGAAGGGCACCCCTCCACCCAGATCCTGGTCCAGGCAAGAGCTGCCCATGGGAAGCTGTCTGCGTGCCCAGATGCCACTTCCCAGTAAGTTGAGGAAGCCTTGGGCAAGCCAGAGGGAACATATTCTCTAGCCTCTTCTATGGTAATGTGCCCTAAGTAACTGTCTGCACAGCCCCTTCCTGGCTGTCACCTGCTTCTCTGGGTACTTCATGACCAGGAACAGCAGAGCATGATGCTGCACCCAGGGCCACTGCCTCACAAGCTCCCCAATCATTTTGCAGATGGTGCCCGTTCTTGCTCTTGGGAAGAGAGGGTCTGACGAATAAGCAGACAGCAGGACCAGGGGTGGGCAGAGCCTGAGGGGCCATTCCAGGCTCAGCACTGTGGCATATGCATGGTACAGGTCAACCATTCCCACGTGTACACAACTCTAAGAATTTAGTTTTTTTCAAGAGACACAAATTATAAGAGGGGGAGGCAGATATATACAACCCAGAGAGCAGAGGGACAGAATTATCACATTACAACAAAATCAAGTTACCTGAATATATTCAATTTAGCTTAAGAAAATAGGTAAGAATATAGTATATCTTAGAAAGATTTCCATAAGAAATGCTTAAAAAGAGAATTATCTTGGTATCTTAAAGGGTAAAGTTCAATCATCTTGAATGTTTACTCTGTATAACATTTTCTTTCCTGATGTTTCCTGGGATGAATGTGTATGTGTTACCCCTTGTATGTGTGAAGGAAAAGGTGTGTGCAGAGCTGGGTGTGTGTGCCAGGGCAAGTTTGCATGTGAGGGAAAGTGTTTGTGAGGGAAAGCGCATGTGAAAGTGTGTTTGAGGGAAAGTGTGCGTGAGAAAGTGTGTCTAAGGGAAAGTGTGTGAGGGAAAGTGCATATGAGGGAAAGTGTGCATGTGATGGAAAGTGTTCGAGAGAAAGTGTGTGAGGGAAAGTGTGCATGTGTGAGAAAGTATATGTGAGGGAAAGTGTGTCAGGGAAAGCATGTGTCAGGGAAAGTATGTGTGTGAGGGAAAGTGTATGTGAGAAGAGTGTGTGTGTGCCAGAGAAAGTGTGTGTGTGAGGGAAAGTGTCTGTGTGAAGAAAAGTGTGTATGTGAGGGAAAATGTGTGTTGAATCCCAGTGTGTGAAAGCATCTGAAGTTGTGTGCTGGAGGGTAGATTGGTGGTGAGCCAAGAGAAATATTAGGGGCAAATCCTTAACACAGTTCCTTGGCCTTTGGTTGCCCAGGAAGAGAAGGGAGTAGCCACAGGGTCAGGGAGAATGTCTGTGTGGGTACCTCTGGCCCATTCAGCCTGGGCCTGCTCTCTGTAAGGCGTGACTCAGCCATTCACCAAATCTGGCACACCATCAGGATGAGCAGAAATAGGAGGGAAGAGAGCAGACAAAGGCAGATGTCATCACTCTGTTGATGGTTAAGGACTGATTTCTTCTCCTTATGTAATTCAGGTTTCCTGATTCAACCAAAGGCACACACACACGGATTTGGGCTGACTTCAAAACCGGGATCTTCACGCATCTACTTGATCCTGAATCTTACTGTGGCTTAGAATGCAATTCTCTGCAGATGTACATTAGTGGATTGGTGAAATAGTACTCGTACAAAGCACTTAATTACCATTTTGCTGAACTGTGAATCAGTGTGTCATTATTTGGCCAACTGCAAGACTGCCTTTGCATTTTAACAATGGAAAATTTTTACGTCTGGAGAAACATTTTAGGGCTCTACTCTTCAATGAAGGATTTATTTTTCCAACTAACTTTAGGTAAAACTTTATTGAAAGAAGGGTGATTTTTGAAGTCTAGACCCTTGTCTCTCACAATGTCTGTACCCTCCATGAGTAAGCATGTTCCTCCTGGCACCTAGCCCCCAGGAGATGACCCAGCCTCAGCGTAGGGGCCCTCCCTGCAACCCTCCAGGCCTTGCACATGCTGGAGATGAGAAGACAGAGGCTAGGGGTCCACAGGCCCTTCTATGCCCATCCTGTGGTGGGACGGTCTCAGGGACACCGGAAAGACGCCTGAATGCTTGGTTCTAAAACACGCATCAGCTAGAGATGGCCTGCTTCTTCCTCCCAGGGGACAGGTAACATGCTAAATGTCAAAGCAAAGGTAATTTCTTCTCGTTTCAAAGACAGGGCTGAGCTAAAGGAGAAGAGCAGTTGATGAATAGGACAAGGAAACAGCAGGCTGGAGGGACTGGGCTGAGGCTGGCCTGGCAAAGACTGACCATCAGTGCTCACAGTGTCACTCAAGTACAACATCTCTAAGGATGATGGAAGGCAGAGCCACAGAGGTGTTGGAGCAGCTGCTAGTAGGGTGGGTGGGCCTGGGTGTCAGGACCCTTTCACCCACCTGGAAGGTCTGCAGGGGCTTACTGCATGCACCACCCCTGTCTCCTAGGGAAGAGCACCCCAAGATGAGAGACTGCTAGAGAGCTAGATCCCCAAGTGGGCAGTGCACAAACTGGGCTCCGAGACCCTCACCCCACCTTCCTTGCACGGCCGTCAGCTGCTGGCTGACCCCTGCATGTCCCAACAGGGAGAGAAGGTGCTGGAACATCCAAGGCTTCAGCACAGCCATACCAGAGATGGTTTCCCTACAACTACTGCCAGTGATCAGAGGAGCCCACTACCCAGTCTCGTGGGTGATCCCGCTACATTTGGGCCCCTGCACCCTGGGGACGGTGGGGCATGTGTGGGAGGACAACACTGCAGAATAGTTGGAGTGAGGTCTCAGTTGGGGTAGGAGAAGACTGAGCAGCTGCAGTAAGGAGCACCGTCCTCTCTGCCCGCCACTGGCCAGGCTGGGGGCTCCTCTGGCACCCAGTCACGCCGTCTCATTCTGAAAACTGACAGGGCACTGACGCTGGATCAAAGAGAACAAGGGCTGCAGGCATCCTCTGGGAGGCAAGGCTGGGGTGGGTGGATGGGGTGGGGGCTGCGGTCACCAAGACCCCTAATCTGGTCTGGGAGCTCATCTCATCCTGCAGCCCCATGACCAGCTCCCAGCGATACCTCAGATGCTGCAGCCTAGGATGGGACCCCAGAGAGTGGGGGACAGAGGGGTGCCCCCACCCAAGCACTTCCACCCAGAATGTCAGGGTGGCCTTTACACTTACCACCGTGGCCTTTGCCAGATTTTATAAATGGAGGTCCAGATGTACAAGTGGCAGTAGGCACCCACTATGGGACACTGGAGCTGTTCCTACAGCCCCTCCAAACAGGGGCCCTGGGACAGGAGGGGCACCCACAT